ATAGAGAAAATTTGAAGCGTCATTATAGGAAAAATGTTTTGAGCGTTTTTTTAAATTTTTATGAAATCGCGTAATGATAACTATTAATCGTCAAACCAGGTATATGTATATCTATGATAATATAAGGTATTATGAATTATGATAACTACATGCAATGTTATTGGAAAAATTGATTAGTCAAAGGTCCACCCCTCCACCTAATGTACCGCAGAGCGATACCCACTTTCCCGCTTTTTTTTTTTAACTTGATACTTTTTACATTAAGTATTTAAATGTGTTTAGGTAGGTACTTAGAACAATTTACCTTCGAACGATTTTTATGTTTCAAAAAATATTATTTGTTTACTGACTTGACAGGGCTCGCCTCCCCTTTGAAAGTTGTATTATATTTCAGCCCCCCCCCCCATCAGATTTTTGGTCTCTGTACTAAATGCAGAACGACACTACAATTCAATGCATTGATGTTACAGGTTAATCCGTTTAAAGTCTGTGAAAAAATTACTTTTTATATTTAATCAGGTAGGTATTATTATTATTAATTGTATATGAGCTTGTCTTTTATGTTTTATTTTTATCACTTTTCTTGTACTTGCATAAAAGTAGTTGTATAGGTATGATATCAAATATCTTGAATCGTGGATATTGTGATGTTTTATGAYCATGTACCTACATATATTATTAAAAAAACAACTTAATTTTCTTCTGTTCCAATAGAAAATGTTTAATGAATTTTCTAAGTCAGTTTTAAAACAAATAAATATTATATTAACATTTAACTAACAGATTAGTTTAAATTTTTTCTATGATGTTGATGTAGGTAGGTATATTAAATATTGGAATATGATTCATTGATTCAATTATATMAAGGGTGGCAAAAATCAAATATCAAGGGAACACTATAGTGCAATACCTACCTACTTGCATGTATTGTCCCGTCTTACAAACGCATAACATAGCAAATTCTACGTTCTTAATAAGTATTAATTTAATTTTCTCTAAAATTAAACAATTACCAAATGTTGAAGTAAGAATAATATGTAGTTATTGATATGGGATTTAATTTTAAAGAGTTTTGAGCATTTGAAAATTGTAAATTGTGCGTTTTAAAATTCTCATAAAGAACTAAGTAATAAAAAAAAATGCCAACGGCAACGTAGTGCTCCCAAGCAGTCACCCATCCAAGTACTACTAGCTACCCCCGATGTTGCTTAACTTCTGTGATCGGGCGAGAACTGATGTATTCAACGTGGTATGGTTGTTGGCAATAGTAATAGGAAAAACAATCATATTTAAATGCATTTGAATATCATAATAAATATTAAGAAATAGTACTTATATTACTTAGGCACATACTATATTTTTAAAACTAGCAAAACATTGTTATAACCAAAAACTATTTAAAACTTCACTTTATTTTAATTGAAAGATGTGTAATATTTCTAGTTTTATCTTCWTTAAGTTATTATAAAATAGCTTTCTGACAATTAAATGCATTATYGAGTTCATCCACTTACCTTACAACAGTGATATGAAGGTGTTTTCCAGGAAGCAAGAAGCAAGATAACATATTTTTTATGAGGTTTAAACAATAGATCAATTAATTTTAAATAAGTACCGATCATGTATAAAATTAAGTATTTGTTAAATGTTAATAGTGTCATTTGTTTTTAGATTTAKATTTTAGAGTATGAGTATATTTTCAAAGTTTTTAAAACAAAAATCGGTCAGTAATTACCTTTTTTTAAAAATAATTATTACTAAAACAATTGTGAATAAAGATGTGGAAGTTGTGCAGTGGCCAAAAAGGGCAACAATTATTTAGTCAATGGGATACATTTTCAGGATCTAAAAGAATTGTTTTAAGAGACAAATAAAATAAAAACCACAATTGTAAAAAAAACTCAAGTTATTTAATATTATTATTCATTTACTAGTATAGCATCTGTCAACTGACAAATAAATGAAAATAATAGGAAAAAATATTGAGAACAGACCAATTAATCATGTACCTAGCAGGAACATAGTTCTGATTGACATAATTCCGCTCATTTATTACATTAAAGCTTAAATCTAATGGAACGAATATTGTAGAAAAAAAAATTAAATTATAATAATATAGTAAAAAAAATATTAAATACCACTTGGTTCTTAAGATACAAATTAAAAAAAAAATATATATATATATTATTGTTTGTTGTTTTAACGGTCCACTGTAGTTTAAGCTACAACAGGTTTATACTCCGGCATGGAAGCAATAATATCTTTGTCATCTTCTGATAAATCTCGAGCAAGTAAAAATGTATGCGCAGATCCACAAGTTACCTGTTCTACATATAATCCATCTAGTTTTTTCATTTCACATGGTTTAGCACTGGATTTTTTCAATTCTCCAAGACCCTAAATTGTTGTGTGTAATAAGTGGTAGTTTAGACAAAATTTTGAAAAATTATATATTACCAATTCGCCAGAGCTAGTTCCAGAACCCCAAACAATACAAGAATCATCAGCTGCTGCAACTAACCCAATAGAGCATGTACCAATACTGCGCAAATTCCAACCATGAAGATCTTGTACCGGTTTTGGATACATATTAGCTTCTCCTCGACTACTCATTTGTCCAAATAAATAAACAGCACCTTTTTTTGTAACAAAAATAAAATATTAATAAATAAATTTTAAACGAAATATTTGTTATAATTTAAGGTTTATATTGATAGGAAAATTTGACATAATATATTTAAAAATTTTAATCGTACCAAATTCATTAATAGCAATACTGAATGCAGGTCCACAAGCAACATGCTTCACACCACTTCTTTGAACATCAAAGTATTTGATAAGTCTCGGTTGTAATTCATCTTTTGGTTCAGAATGTCCAAGRCGACCRTAACCTCCAAATCCCCAAGAATATGCTTTTTTATGGTCATCAATAGCTACCTAAAAAAAACAACCAACTTGAATTATGAAAAACAAAAAACTTTTTGTTTTGTTTATCATACTGTATGATTTGTTCCACATGCAAAATCTCTGATTTCAGGTTTTTGCAAAATTTCTACTTTGTTCTTTGTTTTCTCTACAAAAGTCATTATAGGCTTAGGTAATTTGACAGTAGCAAAATTAATAGCTCCAGCTCTTTCAATATACTCTCCATTAGTGTTATGTCCCAATTGCCCATACTCAGGCAAACCAAATGAATATAAAGTGCCTTTACAATCAAGTAAAATGCTGAACTCAGCACCACAACCAACTTTTACGATTGGTGGTCCATTATATTTAACCTATAAAATAAATACATTTTTTTATTTGCTAATTCATGACATTTTTAAAGTTAAAAATACTCTGCAAGTCTTATGGATGATAAGAACTTTGCAGAGTTCATACAAAATTTAAAATTATGGTATTAGTTTTAAATTTTAATACAGAATGTGCATTCAAATTAATGAATAGATTATAATATATGATTTTATATTAATCAATAATAAATTCAATAGGCATTCATATTTTATGTAAGCATTTATCATCCAAATAAAAACCTGTCATTTTATACATAATATATTAGTAGAGATGTTACGAACTATTCAATAATCCAACTAAAAGAAAAAAATATTAAATAWYAATACATTTTAAAGAAAATAATATCTAATTTTGACTTTTTTAATGTTTGGCTTTAGTTCAATAAAATATTTGAAGAGTTTGGTGCAATTAAAAGTGTGTGTTCAGATTTGTTCAAGTTCGTTAACATAAAGAACGGTTCAGCCTTAAATATTATAATTCGTAAATTTATAAATTAGACATGTATAAAACTAAATTAATAAATGATTTACATACTATTCAACTATTTAAATATAAAATAGATATGTAGCAATAATAATAATTATTATTTAAAAAAAGAATACTAAGGTTTTTATTTTACCATATTATACTCCATAAAAAAAAAGACATAAGTTCTGCGAATTATTGTCCTCTCTTGTATGGTGACTAGCTCACTACTTATGCATTACCTGGTATCTTTTCTTACTTAATAGAGTATAGGTATCACATATTTCTTTGGATACTTTATTTAAAATATGTTTGTCATATTAATATAACTATAATACTTAAGATGTACAAACTAATGGTACCTTTTATAATCARATGATAAAAGATATTATATTAAAATTAAAAATACTGATTTATAAACAGCCRTCTTGGCTTTTTTATTATTTGAATTAWTAATTAATTGATAAATTATTCAGTTATTTTTTTTAAGTATAAAAACAATTTTTAAATTATTTGTAGTTGTGCTTTATAAAAGCAGAAAATGTTTCATAGTCAGCTTAATGTTATATATATATAAACACAGACAAGATGCGATAACTCGAAGTTGAAGGAGGATGAAAATTCGCTTTGAGATATATATTATTCAAGATATCTAACTAATCAATAGGGGAAGAATTTTCTAGAGGAATAAAAAAAAAATTAAGTAGGTAGTCAAGTTTTTTTAAGTTACCGAGGTTTGAGTTATCGCTACTTGATTAGGTATATATATTTAAATATAAATTGTGGTTAAATGAAAAATAGATCTTAAGATTTTTCTAAATTTTAAAGTACCTTTAGAACATTTTTTATTTCTTTTTAATGAGGTAACAAGAAGAACTTACAAAACAATGGTCACAATGGATTATAAATTACATTTTATAATCTGAATAATTTAAGTTTAACTATTTTAACATTTTTAAGCTTTTGTTTCAAAAAAAATAATATTTTATCTTATTATCATACATAAACTATAACAATATATTACTAACCCTCATTGCTGTTGTAACAAAAGGTTCTTTGCTCTTCACGCCACACTGACTATTCTTATTATCACCACAACTGTAAACCGCACCACGATCTTAAACATATAATTCAATCTTCAAACACAAAAATTTTTCTAGAGAACAAATTAACCAAATAAGAAATTATTTGTTTGGCTAAAATGTGCACTAGCATATTTTGTAAAATTGCATTTATGTACAACAAATAGTACTTTTACATAAGTGCATAGTTCAAATTATTAGGTATTTAAAAGAATTATGATAATATATTTTAAAAACATACCAGTGAGAAGTAATGTATGTCCACGACCAGTAGCAGCATTGACAATAGCATGGTCAGGTAAACCTTCAATTGGAGTTGGAATGTCACGTCTGAGTAAATCTTTGACCCCCAGTTGACCTTTTTCGTTTCGCCCTAAAAGAGTAAATTCAAAGTTTAAGTACCTAATGAATTATCACTTAATGAAAATTGACTACAAACCTAAAGACAAAGCTTTGCCTTCTTCAGTTATAAAGATAGTGTGTGAAGAATTGCAGCTACTCACTACCAAACGAATACGGTTATCTTTCAGTGGTCCAAATAAATGTGGTTCATATAAGTTTCGCCCAACAGACTTGCATCCTTTTGGCATTGACTTGCGACCATTTAAATCCCAATTAGTTCCACCAGTTAAAAGGACAACTCCAATGTGATCAGGGCCTTTCACTCTCTACAACACAAAATTTTGGTAAAATATATTGAATTACTCTTTTACTAAGTATATAGTTTAAACACAGATTCTGTCCTTCTGACATATGTACACAATTTTACTCCACTTCTTATTATAATGGGCGCTTATTTATTTTTAACATCTAAGACTATACTTAATTAAACTTATAGGGTAAATTTATTTATTTTTAATCTAAATAAGTATTATAATAACTTGTTAGATAASAATGAAAGTCTCATTTTGATGAAATGAACCATATTATAGCCAAACCTGATATAGGTAATAACTAATAAAATTTAGTTAACGACATAGGTAATAAATGTACCTAATACAAAACTGTAGAACCTACTGATGATCAATATTTGTAACTAACGAGTAATCGAATACTTTACACTGTAAACTGTAGATGATTAAAAATTAATTTAAAACTTACAAAATATGTACAAGAGATAATGTGTACAAGGATGTAACAAAGAAAAGCTCGTTTGCAACCCCATCAAGCAGGGTAGCAATCTAAAGGTAAATGAGAGGCATGTCGGACGATGAAACAGAACAGCTGCGAAAAACGCAGTTTTCAGCAACTACCACGATGCCGGTACGCATAAATGCATAGTTAATGCACTTTACGACTTACCAGAGACGCGTTGTCTTCTGCCAGTTCGTCCACGTCGTCGTCATCGGACCTCCGGTCATCGTCGTCATCCTCTTCACTCAACACGGGTGGGTCGTCTTCGACGATTTTGGACTTTTTGCGTGACACGCCATTTGCCTTGCCTTTGGACTGCCGTTTGGCGGACATGACGCCAACACGTATGGCAACAACGTCGAGGTGGATATGTAGAGCGTGTAAGCGGTTGGCTGGTAGTCACGTCGTACGGGCTATTTCGTTAGCAGCGGTGGTCGGCACAAGGGATGGTCGTTTGTRGATGAACGAAAAATGTGCACAGGTCGACGGTGATGGCGCGAAACTCGGGTGGYGAGCAACAAAACACTGTAAACACAACGCAACGGGGGAGAAGATCGGGTCAAACGGCGACGGCTGTAATGATAGTAGCGGCGGACGCCATTAAAAGTAAAAAAAAAAAGAAAGAAAGAAATCTCGAGAGGGAGAGAGAGGTAGATAACGAGCAAATGAGTGATCGAGAGAGAGTGAGCGAGTGAACGACGGATGACCGGGGGGAAGGGGAGCGAGTGAGACAGAACGGGACGCTCCACGCGTGCGCGCGCGCGCTAGTTGGGCTGAAAGAAAGAGAACGAAAACCGGGACTGGGAGCAAGCGAGATGGTCGATCGGAGAGAAGAAGAAAAAAAATATAGAAAAAAGTGCGGCGATTGTTTGTTGTGAACGCGGTGTGTGCATGTGCGTGTGCGT